GGGCCGCGGTGCACCGGGGCTGAGGCGCGCGGTCCTTGTAGATGCCGGAGGAGACACAGACACAAGACCAGCCCATGGAGGAGGAGGAGGTGGAGACCTTCGCCTTCCAGGCGGAGATTGCCCAGTTGATGTCGCTGATCATCAACACTTTCTACTCAAACAAAGAGATCTTCCTGCGGGAGCTGATTTCCAACTCGTCGGACGTAAGTGCCCCGGGAGCCGGGCGTGGTTGGGCGAGGGCCTCCCCGGGCGCTGCGCGTGACTCCTGAGTGTCTCTCCTCCAGGCCCTGGACAAAATCAGATACGAAAGCCTGACGGATCCCAGTAAGCTAGACTCTGGGAAGGAACTGCATATTAACCTCATTCCAAACAAACAAGACCGAACCCTCACGATCGTGGATACTGGAATTGGAATGACCAAGGCCGACCTGATCAATAACCTTGGTACTATCGCCAAGTCTGGGACCAAAGCGTTCATGGAGGCTTTGCAGGCTGGTGCAGACATCTCCATGATTGGCCAGTTCGGTGTCGGTTTTTATTCTGCGTATTTGGTTGCGGAGAAAGTGACTGTGATCACCAAGCACAACGATGATGAGCAGTATGCCTGGGAGTCCTCGGCAGGGGGCTCCTTCACCGTCAGGACTGATACAGGTGGGCACGGGGTAGAAAAGTTGCTTCAGTCACGTGGGGCAGAGTACTGCCAACACTGGACATCCAAAAATGCTGTGAAATGTGTAAAACTAAGTTCGTTTACCTAACATCTTGGGCAAGAGCTTAAAACTGCTCTTGGGAACCTTTGTAGTGGTTAGGAAACCTCACCTCAGGCTTGATCAGAAGGCTGTTAGGTGTGGCACAGCTAGATTGGTAATGTTCATTTGGCCATGGAAATACAAATTGGGGCTGGGGTTGTGGCTTAGTTGCTAGCCTAGCACGTGAGGCGCTGGGTTCTATTCTCAGCACCACATAAGGAAAATAAAACTGTTGTGTTCCTTTACTATAAAACTTTTTTTAAAAGTATGAATTCAGAGACTGGGGTTGTAGCTCAGTGATAGAGGGCTTGGCTTGCCTAGCACGTGTGAGGCCCTGGGTTTGATCCTCAAAACCACATACAAAATTGAAAATAATGCTAAAAATTAAATTCTGTACACTCTCACTTTCTTTTTCAGGAGAACCAATGGGTCGTGGGACAAAGGTCATCCTGCATTTGAAAGAAGACCAAACTGAGTACTTGGAGGAAAGGAGAATAAAGGAGATTGTGAAGAAACATTCCCAATTTATTGGCTATCCCATTACTCTTTTTGT